CATAATTAAAAAAACAAAATATGTATACATAATATTTATGCATATATACATACATACATACGCAGACACGCACACATAATATATATATATATATATATATATATATATATATATATATATATACATAAATACATACATATATATAATATACATATACACACTGGTATACTGTAAATATAAGCACCAAACACATATCCATAATATGCGTATGTATGTGTGTACGCGCGTGCTTGGTTTGGCAATGTGTTTACTTATGTACCAAAATAAAAAAGGGAACTTGGTACAAAGGGAAGCAACTTTTTGGCGTTGTTCAGCGAGCCACTTGGACTCTTGGCTCGTCTCGCTGGACAGGAAACGAAATCATTAACAGAGAATCGACGCCAGAACAATTAACGCGATGAATATTGAACAATAAATGGAAATCTTGACGCTTATAAAAAAAAAGAAAAAAAAAAGAATCATGTACCATTAGGACTTACGCCTTTTGTTGAGTTGCCTTTTTCGTCTTTTTTGAGGTGGATTTGAAGGCAGCGATTTTCTCAAGGGATTTGCTGAGATGAAGTCAGAGTGTGAGATCATTTGTGATTTTGTGCATTTTATTATCTACGCTTAATGTGCATTTTGATCGTATGCATTTTTTTTATTCATACATATTTAATATATAATATAATATATATATATATATATAATAATTATATATTATATATATATATATATATATATATATATGTATATGTGTGTATACATTATGCATATAATAATATATATCTACAACACACACACACAACACACACACACACACATACATACATATATATATAATATATATAATATATATATATGTATATATATATGCACATATGTATATATTATATATTATATTATATATATATATATATATATATATATATATATATATATATATGCATATATATCTTATCTATCTATCTATCTATCTATCTATCTATATATATATATATATAAAAGAGAGAAGGAGAGAGAGGGGGGGGGATAGATATATAGATACATAAAGGAAGAAACTAGATAGATTGATTTATCTATTTCTGATTGATATGTGTTTTTATTTTTTGTCATCCATTCGGTCGATGGTCAGGCGTTCTACCCCACCGATAACCATCTTCCTTTTCCTCTCTTCACTGCAACGAAGATCCAGCCGCCTGGGTTTGGTGTTTGCTCGGATGCTTCACGAGAACGGAGTGTGCTGGAAAGAAAAGAAATGATAAAAATAGGTGGGTGTATGGAAATAAGATTATATACACTTGTAGTTATTTACACACTTATCTATCTTTCTGTAATTATTTATATCTATATCTATCTTTCTCTATATCTACATCTATCTTTCTCTATATCTAAATTTTCTCTATCTATATCATCTTTCTCTATATATATCTATCTGTCTTTCTCTATATGTCTACATCTATCTATCTTTTCTATGTCTATCTATCTGTCCATCTATCTTCCTCTCTCTATCTATCTATCCATCTTTATCAATACATTTCTATACATCATTACATTCTTAATTACATTATCAATCTCTCTATACATCATTTCATTTCATCTATCATCATCTATTCGAATACAAAATCAACCAAAAACATTATATTTACCCCTCTCAATTATCTCTCTTGTCCTTCACCTTCTTTTATCCTTTTATCTCCACTCACTCCCACTTTCCTCCTCGTCTCTCTCTCTCTCCTCCCTTATCGCTCGCCTCCTTTAACACATGAAGACGAGGCGAGTCCCTTGTGGAATACGAGAGGGGGGGGAGGGAAGAGAGGGTGAGGGGGTGGGGGAGGGAGAGAGGGTGAGGGAGGGAGAGGGGAGGGAGAGCGAGTCCCTTGTGGAATACGAGAGGGTGGGGGATGGAGGGAGGAGAGGAGGGAGAGAGGGAGAGGGAGGGAGAGAGTCCCTTGTGGAATACGAGAGGGTGGGGGAGGGAGAGGGGGTGTGGGGGTGGGGAAGGGAGAGAGGGTGAGGGGTGGGGAGGGAGAGGGGAGGGGGTGGGGGAGGAGAGAGGGAGAGGGGTGGGGAGGGTGAGAGGGTGAGGGAGGGTGAAGAGGTGAGGGGGTGGGGAAGGAGAGAAGAGGAGGTGGTGGAGGGAGAGAGGGTGAGAGGGGAGAGGGTGGGGGAGGGAGAGAGGGTGAGGGGGTGGGGGAGGGAGAGAGGATGAGGGAGGGAGAGAGAGAAGAGAGAGACCATCCACAAGGGAGGGGGGAGGGGGGGGTCCCGCTGACTGACGTAAGAAACACGATTAGCTGAAAATCTGAAATTCATATCTGAAGGAGGCGACGAAGGAGGAGTGTTGGAGGTTCTTGAGAAAGGGACTGGCTTTTGTCTCCGTGTGGGGTGGAGGTTGGGATATCTATATTAATTTGTTGGAGCGTCTTTGTTAAAAGAAAGAGGCTGAAATACGTCCATTAAGTTGGTCGGTTGGATTATGTATGTTCTCTCTCTCTCTCTCTCTCTCTCTCTCTCTCTCTCTCTCTCTCTCTGCTGTCTCTATCTCTCTCTCTCTCTCTCTCTCTCTCTCTCTCTCTCTCTCTCTTGCTGTCTCTCTCTCTCTCTCTCTTCTCTCTCTCCTCTCTCTCTCTCTCTTGCTGTCTCTATCTCTCTCTCTCTCTCTCTCTCTCTCTCTCTCTCTCTCTCTCTCTGTCTCTCTCTCTCTCTCTCTCTCTCTCGCTCTCTCTCTCTCTCTCTCCTCTCTCTCTCTCTCTCTCTCTCTCTCTCTCTCTCTCTCTCTCTCTCTCTCTCTCTCTCTCTCTCTTCTTCTCTCTCTCTCTCTCTCTCTCTCTCTCTCTCTCTCTCTTCTGTCTCTCTTCTCTCTCTCTCTCTCTTGCTCTCTCTCTCTCTCTCTCTCTCTCTTCTTTCTGTCTCTATCTCTCTCTTCTCTCTCTCTCTCTCTCTCTCTCTCTCTTCTGTCTCTCCTCTCTCTCTCTCTCTCTCTCTCTCTCTCTCTCTCTCTCTCTCTCTCTCTCTCTCTCTCTTCTCTCTCTCTCTCCTCTCTCTGTCTCTCTCTCTCTCTCTCTCTCTTCTCTCTCTCTCTCTCTCTCTCTCTCTCTCTCTTGGGATATCAATACTGATTTGTTGGAGTAAGATTGTTAAAAGAAGGAAGCTGAGATATGTCTATTAAGTTGGTCAGTTGTATTATGTATGTTAAAATGTTTGATTCAAAGAGGTTGAAATATAACGAGTAATATAACGAGAAATATAACGAGAAATATAACGAAATGCTCATTTGGTGCAGAGGTCGAAACACATCCATCAGGTAGTTCACGGATTTATTTTCGCTAAAAAGAGCCGATTCTGTATCTACAGTTGTATTATAAATCGATTTATTTTAATCTATTTCTTTCATTAAAATATCTCTTCTATACGCTTTGATTTCTTATAAAACAGCTGTAATAAAATGGTTTTAAAGTTGATATTTGAGAAAACAAAACAAAACAAAAAAGTGTAATATACCACACACGCAAATTACATGGCATGTGCTTGTCGTATCACCTTTAAATAATAAATATTCTTAATATCAATATTTCGATTAGTTATCAACCGCTTCTAATGAATTATTTTCATTATCATCTTTATTCGACATGCTTCATTTCCATTACGTATCATAATTATTTATTAAAGCTTATTATCATCCTTAACTAACAAATTTTATTGTCATTCTCAGTTTAATCATCTTCATCTAATCATCATGATTTTTTTATTCTTATCATTATCTTCTTTAATTAGTCTTATCCTCATTTCAACCATCATTATCCAATGAAAGTCATCGTTATCATTATTTTTAATCGCCCTTTTCATATCTTCAATCATCCTTATCAAATGGTGCTCGTCATAATCATCCAGTCATCATCCAATTTCCAATACCTTTTTTAAAATCACTCTTATCATCACCTCAACCATCCTTATCAAAGGAAACTCACCATCACCATCATTTCTAATCCCTTTTCAACCATCCTTATCCAATGAGACTCATCCTCATCATCCTTTTCAAATGAACCTCACTATAACCATCTTTTTAAAATCACTCTTATCATAATCTCAACAACCGTCCTTATCAAAGAAAACCATAATCATCATTTCTAATCCCTTTTCAACCATCCTTATCCAATGAAACTCATCCTCATCATCTTTTTCAAATGAACCTTAGTATCACTTACTATCATCACCTTTTTAAAATCACTCTTATCATCACCTCTCCCATCCTTATCAAATGAACCCCCCCCATCCTTATCCTGCCCTTATCCTACGAGGCCACAATCCTACCTGACCCCAGAGACGTCCTAGACACGTGTCCTCCGCCCCACCTCCTCCAGGTTGACCCGAAGACGCTAAAAAGTTCAAGGTTCCGAGTCCTCCCGCGAAGTAGGACGTGGCGCCCTCGCTCATCGTCTTCCTGCTTCGGCAACAGCTTCGAATTCTCTCCGAACTGCCCACCGGATGAGGATCCAATCGCGTTTATGCATTTTACTTTTTTTTTTTATGGGAATTGTAGCGAGGTTAGAGCATCGCCTCGACCTGATAATCTAACTTTTCTCTTTTTTTTTCTTTTAAAATCTCGGTGTTGATGGTTTTGGCACAGTGCCAGGTGTTATAGACAGTGCCACGCCCTTCCTGTGTCAACACGTGCGCTTTTCTGCCTTCTGCTGTGGAGAAGGAGCGAGGAGAAACAACTACAGTGACGAGGTTGACATTTACGCTGTGGTGTGTAACTGCTTATTTTAGCATTAACATCGCCCCTCGTTGGCCATTATGAAAATTCCGGTCTCTTTGAAATCCGTAAAATTTTGGAATATCTCTTTACTACAAAACCGCGGAAATGAGGAAATGATTATCGTTTTTTTTTCTTTATCGTCTTTTGCAAATGTCACCACGGAGCGACAGCCTTGAGAGTGACACTTGGAGGAGGAACCTGTTCGACGCGAAGGAGGGAAACGCACTGACCTGTTTTCTTTGGGATGCGTTTGTTTGTTCTAGTTCCCTGGCTCTCTTTTGGCCCTCTCTTGGCACTCTGTTGGTCCTCTGTTGGCCCTGGTCTTGGTCCTTCTTTTGGCCCTCTCTTGGCCTCCTTGGTCCTCTTGGCCCTGTCTTGGTCTCTCTTTGGCCCTCTCTTGGCACTCTGTTGGTTCTCTGTTGGCCCTCTTGGTCCTCTCTTTGGCCCTCTCTTGGGCCTCTGTTGGCTCTTGGCCCTGTCTTGGTCCTCTCTTTTGGCCCTCTCTGGCACTCTGTTGGTCCTCTGTTGGCCTGTCTTGGTCCTCTCTTTTGGTTTCTTGGCCTCTGTTGGTCCTCTCTTGGCCCTGTCTGGTCCTCTCTTTTGGCCCTCTCTTGGCACTCTTTGGTCTCTGTTGGGCCTGTCTTGGTCCTCTCTTTTGGCCCTCTCTTGGCCTCTCTTGGTCCTCTCTTGGTCCTCTCTTGGCCCTCTCTGGCCCTCTCTTGGTCCTCTCTTGGCACTCTCTTGGCCCTCTCTTGGCCCTCTCTTGGTCCTCTCTTCTCTCTGGTCTCTCTTGGCCTCTGTTGGTCCTCTTGGTCCTCTCTTGGCCCTCTCTGGTCCTCTCTTGGCCCTCTCTTGGCTCTCTTGGCCTCTCTTGGTCCTCTCTTGGCCCTCTCTTGGCACTCTCTTGGCCCTCTCTTGGCCCTCTCTTGGCCTCTTGCCCTCTCTTGGTCCCTGGTCTCTCTTGGCCTCTCTCTGTTGGCATCCTTGGTCCTCTCTTGACCCTCTCTTGGCACTCTCTTGGCCCTCTCTTGGTCCTCTCTTGGTCCTCTCCTGTCTTGGTCCTCTCTTGGTGCCTCTCTTGGTCTCTCTTGGCCCTCTCTTGGCACTCTCTTGGTCCTCTCTTGGCCCTCTCTTGGTCCTCCAT